TTGACGACAACACGAATATGAAAATACGCTGAGAAGCTTATTATTGAATAATAATTTACTATACTGTAAAGACCCACCGACCTGACGTTTATAGAAACGGTGACCATTGTTTGATTTTTTTTTGTAATACGAGTACTAAATTTACACATTTAGTATTGTGATATCGGTATGGTCAGATATCCACCACCATTACTTGAGCCTCTAATAGTTCATTACCAGACATGGGAAGGACAAAAAATGGATCAATATTCATTTAGTTTTTTAATAATTTCTACAAAACTAAACGTGTCATGGAAATCCAGAATAATATTTAAGATTATTGGGGCTTATGTAAAAAAATAAGGGAGGTATCACACTTATTATGCATAAGAGCCACACCAAGCATGACATTTTGGACTTCGGGCCGTTGGTTGTTACCGCAAGAGGCATAAAATTGAATTGAAATCTTAAGTGTCAAGCTACGCGGTTATAACCGTGCGGTGACGGATTAGAATACAATTCACCGCCCCTCTCTTCCCGTGGGTGTCGTAAGAGGCGACTAAGGGATATTGAGCAACCAGCTGCTCCACTGGTGGTAGGGCTTGAAAACCCGCCTGGTTAGTGACCACCGTGCGCATGATGGAAAACCCGCCAAGTATTCGCTAGTCGGATGCGTTCCGGAATCAGTCAGCGTACAACCAGAGCCCGAGGGAACGCTGCCGCGACATTTGTGGTCTGTGGAGGCTTCCGCCGAACCAGTGCCAGGACAACTGCATTGACCCGCCGGCCAGGGAGACCCGTAGAAACGGTTGTTCCGCTGGCCGCCCGCGGTACAGTACAGGGGCCCAAGCGTGCTTAACCAGCTCGTGAGGCTGCCTCACCATGCCGCGCATAATCTCGGTGTGGTTCGTCGTGCCGGTTGGTGACCGGGAGGTGGGGTCCCGGCGGCCATTCCCGGGGGGGTTCGGGGGCCCTTCCGTCCGGCGGATCAGCGCAACTTGTCTGTAGGCAAGTCTCTGGGGAAGCAGGCTCCGCGATTTGACCGCTTGTGTCGCGGCACTGTTTTCTCGCTTCATGCCTCTTTTTCCCTCCAACATGTTGGCGCAAAGTACAAATTTCGGTCGTACAGCGGTGCACACCCCCACCACTAAAGCGCTCTTTAAGGTGGAGTTCACGAACATTCGAGGACTCCACAGTAACATCCACGCCGTCCATCAACATCTTGAGACGGCTCGACCAGAAATGCTGTTCCTTACGGAGACGCAAATACTCTGCCCGGCTGACAGCAGCTACTTGAATTACCCTGGCTATATGCTTGAAGAGTCCTTCAGAGCGAAAGCTGGGGTCTGCTTGTTTGTCCGGGCAGATGTTTGCTGTCGCCGTCTGCGTCATTTGGAGGACCCCTCCTTCTCCATCCTTGGGGTACATGTTGACCTGGGCAGTCATTGCCGTGTCTACATGTGCCTCTACAGATCCCACCACGGCGACATGGAGACAACTCGTCTCATGGACCACCTTACTCGGGCGGCAGATGACGCGCAGGCGCAGTTTCCTACAGCGGAATTGGTGTTTTTAGGGGACTTCAATGCTCACCACGAGTCGTGGTTAAGTTCCTCTAAAACTGACCATGCTGGAAGAACTGCCCACACATTCGCTCTCACACACGATTTAACCCAACTGGTGAATCAGCCCACCCGGATTCCAGATAGGGTTGGTGACGCGCCCTCTTTGTTGGACCTTCTGCTGACGTCTCGCCCGGCTGGATATCGGGTGGTGGTCCAAGCCCCTCTGGGCACTTCGGATCACTGCTTGATATCCACTAAAGTGGCAACGTTACTGCCACCACCACCTACTGTGGCTAAACGCCGCATTTGGCATTATGCGTCGGCAGATTGGGACGGTATGCGGGACTATTTTGCATCCGTTCCCTGGCGGCAGCGCTGTTTTAGTGAGGTGGATCCAACAGCTAGCGCGACTGCCGTTGCTGATGAGATCTTAATCGGGATGGAATACTACATCCCGCATTCGGATCTCGTCAGTAAAGGGAGGCGCAACCGCTGGTTCAACCGCGAGTGTGCTGTGGCTGTTGAGAACAAACAGACTGCATACCGCGCTTGGATCAGGGGTCTAGCTTCAGACGATCCCAATACGAACTCACTTAAAACAGCCTACAATAATGCCACCAGGTCTTGCAAAAGAGCGTACATCAGAGCGGATGCTCAGCGCGTCGCACGAGTTGGCCAAGAACTCTTGACGCATCCCACAGGTAGTCGTAGCTACTGGCGTCTGGCCAGAGCCGTTGCGTCGAACTTCTGCCAGCCCTCGCTGCCACCGCTGAGATATTCTGACGGCAATCTAGCCCACAAGCCGCAAGATAAAGCCGACCTGTTGGCAAATCTGTTTGCGGCTAACTCCTGTCTCGACGACTGTAACGCACAGCCACCAACTCTACCTCACTGTGGCTACACGATGTCTGATATTCGTATCAGACAATGCGATGTGCGTACGCAGCTGCAGTCTCTCGACGTCCGGAAAGCTAGTGGTCCTGATGGTATCCCAGCGATTGTACTTAGGAATTGCGCAGCTGAGTTGACTCCCGTGCTAACGCGACTGTATCGTCTGTCGCTCTCTTCAGGTCGTGTGCCGGACTCTTGGAGAGAGGCTAATGTGCAACCAGTTCCCAAAAAACGACCGATCAGACCCGCATAATTACCGTCCCATAGCCATTACTTCCATAATATGCAAGGTTTTAGAGCGGATCCTTAATAAACAACTGACCCAATACCTAGAAGATCACTCCATAATTAATGATCGGCAGTATGGGTTTCGTCCGAAACGATCAACGGGTGACCTTCTAGCGTACTTATCGCATATTTGGGGTGAGGCTATAGACAAACGTGGCGAATCGTTGGCTGTTAGCCTCGATATAGCCAAAGCGTTCGATCGGGTCTGGCACAAAGCTCTTCTCTCCAAGCTCCCGGCGTACGGTTTGCCAGCCCAGTTATGCAGCTGGATTGCCGATTTCCTTCGTGAGCGGAGAATTCGCGTCGTTTCTGACGGCAGCATTTCGAGGTTCGTGAATGTGAACGCCGGCGTACCGCAGGGATCCATCCTATCTCCCACGCTTTTCCTTCTGCATATCAATGATATGCTTCCACTTGGGAATATTCATTGTTATGCAGATGATAGCACTGTTCATGGGGGATATCATGGATTCCCCGCAGCTGGGCGCGCCGATACTGACAGAGAGCGATCTGATCTTGTCGTTGAGCTCAATAGGATATTGGACCTCATATTTGCATGAGTTCAACGCCAAGAAAACACAGGTTTACGCGTTAACAACAAAATTGTCGCCGTTCCTTCCCATGCCTTCTCTGATGAGCACAGCACTTTCACCTCGGAGCAGTTTCACCTTGCTCGGTATGGAAATCTGCTGTGATTTGAATCCAAGGAGCTACATCGAATCTGTGATCAAATAGCCTCACGGAAACTCGGAGTCCTGAACAAGGTGCGACGTTTTTTCGCGCCGGACCAGTTATGCCTGCTGTACAAAACACAGGTCCGGTCTTGCGTTGAGTATTGTTCGCACTTGTGGGACGGCTCCGCCAAGTACCTACTCGATGCCTTGGATAAATTACAGCGTCGTGCTACTAGAATTATAGGCGACGAAGAGGTCTCATCACGCCTTGAACCTCTGCAACTGCGTAGAGATGTTGCATCGCTTAGCGCCTTTTACCGCATGTACCATGGTGAGTGCTCTGAGGAGCTGTTCAACCTCATCCCCCCTTCCCCGTTCCTGCTCAGAAGCACGCGTGCTGGCCTTCGTAGTCACCGTTTCACTACCTGCCGCATTCCATCGCGTACTAAAAGGTTCGGTGGCTCCTTTCTCTGCCGCACGGTTGACAAATGGAACTCCCTTCCGGCACATGTCTTCCCTCCCTCTTATGATATGGGGTCCTTCAAACGAGGCGTGAAGAGGCATATTGTAGGCAGGCAGGGTGGAGGCGGCTAGTGCAGTGAGGATTCCATCGCTGCACTAGGTTCCTTCGCGTTTGGATACCACTTTCCACTTAACATCAGGTGGAGTGGAGTCATTTGCCTGTCAGGTATAAAAAAAAAAAAAAAAAAAAAAACGCGCTCTTGACCCTGCATAAAGATGACTGATGGAATTTTACTTTGATGTACAGTATCAAAAACGTGTTAGGTTAAGAGGTTAAATAAGGAATTAGCAGCAAGCCATGGGAGTCGCCGGGAAAGACACTATGTTGATGGACCTAGAAATCCTTAAATATTAGTTGGAGCGTGGTCACCGCCCGCCCTACGCCCAATTTCTCGGAACTAGCGTGTCGCGCGCCAGACAACTGGCCTCGCCTGCTAAATTTTGGCTGCCGACACCCACTAGGGATTAATTTTTCCGAAGTAACAATGTTCATAACGTAACTACGCTCTCTGGGGCGTTTTCAATTAGCATCATTTATAACTTACTAATCACCTACCTATGTCTATGTTTTTTTCTGTTTCTGTGGAAAGTTGCATTAAGTTACTGTTTGAGATACATCTTTTAGATACACCTATACTTTTAACTATGTGAATAAATATTGTAAACCCAACACTCATGAAATATTAGTCTCATTTCCTTTAAATTAAAAAAATGTATATTTTTATTAGGAAGTACATAGCGACATCTATATTTGAGTAGAAGAAATAATACGTTGCCTAAATTGATTTATACTGCCATCTATTGTTGAATAGACGAAGTTTTTTTATATTTATTTCGTGACGGATACGAATACACGAAGTTGTTAATAGTGTTGCCCGTGCATTAAAAAGATTAACAATGATGATGATTTGTTAAAATATTACAAATAAATATTAAAATACTCATAGTTTGCACTTTTTACAGTTCACTGGCTTTTATTACTGAGCTATTCATACAATGAGATTTCGACGGCAAAAAGTTTCTAATATTCGTTATGGCAACAAATTTGTTTAGTTTATGGTACATTTGACATTTGACAGAAGGAGTCCACATCCGGCCCACGAACGAGAAACGGGGTCTTTTTCAAGCGTACGCCATTGCTGGCGTATGGTAGTTTATTATATTGAAACGAAAATCAAAAACCATCCAATATGGTAAGTGTCTAAAATCATCGCTGTGCTAAGAAATGTGTAGCTTTACCTCTGTGCCTTCGTATGTAGTGTTTATTTTGCGAATAACTTGTAATTCTGACAAATAAAACTTATTTCTCACGTCGGTTGTCTTTGTGGTCGGATGACGTTTTCAAAGTGTTACAGTGAAATAACGAAGTGTTTGTGATACGAACGAGAACGCCAGTAACGGTTTACATTGTAGACGGTTGCGAACAGAGTTAAAAATGCATCCTATTTCGAAAATGCAACGTGCGTGTGACAATGACAAGTGTTGGAACATCTGTGTTGTGGCTAGCAAGATGTTGACGAAATTTTGGTCTTGTGCAGGTGAATTTCACGGTAGACGAGATCCGGGCCATGATGGACAAGAAGAAGAACATCAGGAACATGTCTGTCATTGCCCACGTTGACCATGGCAAGTCAACGTTGACAGATTCACTGGTGTCGAAGGCCGGTATCATAGCAAATGCGCGTGCCGGCGAGACTCGCTTCACTGACACCCGTAAGGATGAACAGGACAGATGTATCACTATCAAGTCTACGTGAGTACTCTTGAAAACACCGCATGGTAAAATAACCTTTCATATCATGGTTAGAGCCATGTTGGTAAGCATTTCCGTCGCCCTAGTTGCTTAAGAAGCTGCAACAACCTTGATCTTAGTTGTCCATTTCTTATTGTTATGCAATACACATGAAAACAATATCATAATATGCTGATTGCACCATATTCTTTATTACTCACTGGTGCCCTTTGTTTGCATAGAAGAAGTACATCGAGTAGACTATTGTAGAATGCTAATTTTCATAGTTTTGTTGGTTCTCCATACAAACTTTCATACCCTATTTCACTATCTCTGTCTTTCTGGATTCCATCCTGTTTAAGTGTGAAAATGTAACAGTTAGTTTTGCATTTATAATATTAGTTTGAATGATGATTGTTCTAACCTTTTAAAACTGAGAGCCTTTGACGATTTTTAAGAACGGCCATCTGATGAAAGTATTCACAATTATTGCCCTTTTAATAGTCCCCTAATTATGAATAACAGTAAACTTTCCTTGCAGCGCTATCTCTATGTTCTTCGAGCTGGAGGAGAAAGATTTAGCATTCATCACCAATCCTGACCAGCGTGAGAAAAGTGAGAAAGGTTTCTTGATCAATCTGATCGACTCACCTGGGCACGTTGACTTCTCTTCTGAGGTGACAGCTGCTCTCCGTGTCACTGATGGCGCCTTGGTCGTCGTGGACTGTGTCTCTGGTTTGTACAAATGTATTTTATTCAACATGAACTCAGGTGGTGCAAAAGGTTATAAAGATATTACTCATTTTTTTCAGATGTTTTAATGTTTCTTAAAAAAGCAAATGCAAGTTTCAATTATTACCAATCTTTACATTTTAGCATTTGCTAGAAATTACTTTTAAATATATACATTTCCAACACCAAAAACACATTATATATTTACTTCTTTGCCAATTCAATTAGATTTTGTTGGCCTTCTTTGATGATGGTGAAAGTATTCTGGAAATTGAGCTTTTACCTTTTTACAAAATACAACATTTAATGTTGCAAAGCAATTTCATAGTCAACATTACTTTGAGTAAAAATTCCTGAACATGTCTCAAAATATAACGCAAGGTGAAATTAACGGGTACGTGGGACTTGTCAATTTGTGACAACTCAGATCTTTGTAATTTAATTCTTGAGTGGCACTGCAACTGTTATGGACAGGTGTGTAGCTTACTGTCAGGAGCATGACTTGTTAGTCCCGTCACTTGATATTATAAAAAGTAATAAACTATTTAACCATGTAACAGTACCATATTGATTAACTATTGATTAATTATTGATTAACTGCCTCTGTGGCCGAACGGTTACCATGCCGGACTGCCACGCAGAGGTCCCAGGTTCGATTCTCAGGCCGGGAGAAATAGTTGTATGGCCTACAATTATTTCTCTCGTGAGTTTGGGTGTAATTTGTGGTTGTCTATGTGTGTGTCCATGGCACCCGCGACACAGGGTTTTCCCTAGTGCGGGGCTATGTTGAGTGTGTGCGTTATTTATTTATAAAAAAAAAAAATTGACAAAACATAAAAGTGTGAATTTCCTTATCCCAAAAGGTGTGTGCGTACAAACTGAGACCGTGCTGCGTCAGGCCATTGCTGAGCGTATCAAGCCTATCCTGTTCATGAACAAGATGGACCGCGCCCTGCTGGAGCTGCAGCTGGAATCTGAAGAGCTTTACCAAACTTTCCAGCGTATTGTGGAGAATGTGAATGTCATTATTGCTACCTACAATGATGATGGTGGCCCTATGGGTAAGTTTGACGCTAATATGCACATTCAAACCAGTACTGTCACTATTGAAAAAGTCAAGCAATATTATTATTTTTAAATTAAATACATTATACATGTAACAATATTTTGTATTATGACTTGCACTATAATTTTTCTATTAGTTAATTTTAAATAATGTTCGAGATGTTTAAAAAAAACTCTGTCACTATTCCAAATATGTTTTGTTAACTATTTGCAGTAAAAATGTTTGACTTTTTTTGCTACTTTTGTACTTAGGGACTATGCCAACATGATTGATTGACCATGTCAACATGATTGACACTTGCGCTTAGGGACTATGGGTCGTATTCCAGAACTCTACTCAATGCTCAAATCAGGACTTATTCAACCTTAGAGGATGGAAAAAAATAAAAGAAAGGAGCTGCCCTAACTACAGAATCAACGTGCTTATAACCAAAAATTTTTACATTTTACATATGGCAGATTTCTTTAGTGTTGTCTTGAATGTTGAAACTGTTTTTTTTGTTTCTTCACTTTACAGTAACCAAAGTATGCCTAGACAAACACAAGTCTAATAATTTAATCTCGAGTGGTATATTATTATTAAACCGAACGATGGCAAGGCAAATAGGCTGTCTATACGTTGGTATTGGCCTTTACCCGGCAACGTTAGACTAACATGTCATTGTATTGCAGGCTTTAAAAAAATAGTCATTTTTAATAGTTAGAGTTGTACATTGGGAAAAATCAGAAACGAGTGGATAAATTTGTTTTCAGGAACTGAGAATAACTAGTAAATGAGTCTTGTTTAATCTAAATTGAACATAAAATTATTTACCAATAAACCTAATGATGGAATAGCATTGTCATGTAATCTAGTTACATTCAAAGTTCTGTTAAAATTTGACTCTTCAAAATGAAGTGAACAAATGAAGATAGTCTTTGATCCAACGTTTATTTTCGGCAGTCCTATGATTTCCAACCTTTCTTTCTTTTTTCATTTGTAGGAAAACTTGAAATAATAAAAATAATAATAATAAAACAATAAAAACCTCGTAGTGAATTGTTTTAATAACAGAATATCGATGATATGTATGCTTACAAGATCAACACTATCTCAAAATAATTGTTAACAACAATCATCAAAATATACAAACAAACAGGCAATCTAAAATAACAAAAGCAAAATTTGGCAAGATTTATAAATAAATTACTTAAATAAGTCTAATTACATGAAATATTTGGGCTATAGTGTGATTTATAGACAAAAAAATAACACATGCCCATGAAATGTAACATTAGATTGATTTGCACTTTTTCTAAAGCCACATTCCTTAATGCTGCAGCGTCGCATTTTTATTAATACCTAATTATTCTCTCTCAATATTTTTGTCCAATTTAATTATAATATATGCGAATGATTCAATAGTACATTTGGAAAAACATTTGTTTTGACATTTGATGTACTTCCCTTTGACATTGGTATCATGTACCTCATGTACTGCGAAATGGACACGGTTGGCATTTAAGATGACGTTACGTATTTTCGATTCCCGTGTTTGACACAGACAATGTAATGCTATCTCTTTTGGCTTAAGAGGCACGTAATAAGTTAAACAAAGACAATAACATGTTTATGTTTTCGACGTCGAAATGCATCATATACATATAACGTCTGATTTATATGTGTCAACATAACATGTCCTTTAGTTTCCATAGTCTATGATGTCAACAGATTGACACTTGCACATCGACTCTATGCCAACATCTATGTTTATATTAAATGTAATTTGTTCTTGGGTTTCCATGAATAAATAAATAAACATGATTGACACTTTACACATAGCCATTGCAAAATGGTTGCACATAGGGTTTATGCCAACATGAGTGGCACTTTGCATAGATTATGCCAACTTCATCAACACTTTTGCCTATAGAGCAATCTCTAAGTAAGTGATTGTCATCTATGCCACTGTTAAGATAATGTCCGGCAGTTGTAGGGACACTAGTGTCATCTAGTAAAAACTAAGAAAAATATTGGTACATAGGATTGTGCATAGACATAGCTTTGTCACCTGAGAAGTGAAATTTGAGAAAAAAAAAAATTTCCTTTACTGACGGTATTGATTTCAATGTGCATCATCATTTCTTTTCAGCCTTACTCTTTACACAAACATTTTGTGCATTGCTTGTTTAGGCGTTAACACTTTCAGTGGGGTATTAGGCCTCATTGTTTTGATTGTAACACAGTTAACACAGGAGTAAATGTGTTAGTTATATCAGCATGTACATATTCCCACAAGACTCAGGGTCGTATTCTAGAACTCTATTCAATGCTCAAGTCAGGATTGCACTGGAAATACGACCCTAATGGCAAGGACTTGAGTATGATTTTCAGTGCTCACTGCAATACCCAAGTCCTGACTTGAGTATTGAGTAGAGTTCTGGAATATGACCCCTAATCCGGCACTAAAAGAGCCTAACTTCATTTTGCTTTATAACCAATATATTGTTATTGGTTTTTATCATACAAATTGAATTATTGACTTGCATAAGCACTGACGTCAATGCTCGCGGTATATGCTTTACATGTTGTTCTACAATACTTGATGCATGTAATAAATTGCATAATGTTTTGTCACAAATAAGTAGTAACTATTTTCTATACAAAGCTGTCTTGCACATTCTTGTGATAAGTGATTATCGTGCTACTCAGAATCGATAACATTGTCAAGGTCAACTTGACTCAGCTTAGTTTTGTTTATTTGCTTTTATAACAACACTGATAACTTCAATTTTTCGTTACCTCTAACTTAATTTTTGGACCTGTTCTGTTATTTTGTTTTTTGTTTCTTTATTTTATTTTTCACAAAATTCGTTATTTTACTTTTTTTTCCCCACAAAATTTGGGGAGCATAATATTAGTAAATAAATATGGCTGTTTACAAAAATAACAGAAAACGACCAAAAAATTAAATTGGGGTTGTGTTCATGGGAGGTATAGTTTTAATTAACTGCATTGCAGTTTTGAATATTTTAAGGTTTGAGACTAAGTTATTTAAATAAGTTTCGTTTGCTTTTTATTCCTTTCCAGATGATATGTTCCTGTTGTATTAAAGTAACTACTTAAGTGAATATAATATCAGTGAACCTATAAGACTTTTAAATTTCAGTTGTTCGTCGCAACGCAAGAGCGTTCACTGTACAAAATATTCATCCCTTCATAATGAGGAGCGCCAGAGCAAAAACTTATAAGAAATTTATTGTATTCTTCGGTTTTTGCTCCGAAACTCCCGAAGTTTAATTCTCAACACACTTTACTCTTTCCACAAGAACAATTCAATTATTGCCATTGACTGTTTGGAAGAAACGTGCTACAACCTAAACAAAGGCTTATTCATTTTTGGCTGGACTACTTTTCGTTAAATATTTCTAATAATGGCTCATTTCCAATGAATATAAAAGAAATCTGAAAGAAAAGTATAGTCTGCAATAATAGCAAATTTGGGGGAATAGGCAAAGTACGTCTGGACGCAACTGAGTGTTCCATGGACTACGTAAATAAATCTGCTACATATACGATAATTCGAAGGTATTTGGCAGGACTCCTTTTATCTAATAGACTTAATATGACCAAACGGTCATAACGTGAAAGAAATTGACAGTTTATAATAATAAGCTTTGGGGAACAGGCGAGGTGCGTGTGGACCCGAGCAAGGGCTCCGTGGGCTTCGGCTCCGGCTTGCACGGCTGGGCTTTCACGCTCAAGCAGTTCGCCGAGATGTATGCCGACAAGTTCAAGATCGACCTTATCAAGCTCATGAACAGGTATTGTACACCATTGTCAAATTCAAATTCAAAATAATCTTTATTTCATAGGTAAGCATTATTACACTTGAAATCGCCACAATATTAAACTCTACCGCTCATTCGTAAGGCAGATTCCCCTGAGAAGAATGAGCAAGAAACTCTAGGGGTTGCTCTTTGTAAATAACATTTACAATATTTATTTTTTTTATTTGAAACATCAGAGGATCGAGACTACCTCCATGAGCTAAACGGGTTACTACCACGGATTTTTGTCATCCAAGTACGCAGAAGTTGTATAATAACCTTTAGTATAATGTTTTTGTTTCACTATAGTTTTAAACCTCGTGAAAGGCAAATTTTGTATATCAACCGGAATCTTGTTATAGAAGCGTATATGTACATTGCCCCTTAAATGATTTTTTGAGTTTGTGAAGACGACTATCAAGAAAAGCTAGTTTATTTCTATTCCTCGTATTAATGTTATGTCTGTCACTATTTTTCATAAATAAATTACTATTCCTTTTAACATAAATTACATTCTCATAAATGGACTGTGAGGCTAGTGTAAGAATGTTAATTTCCTTAAACATATCTCTCATCATGTCTTAAATACTACAAACTTATTGAGTTCGTAACTGCCTCCGTGGCCGAACGGTTGCCATGCCGGACTGCCACGCAGAGGTCCCAGGTTCGATTCCCGGGCCGGGAGAAATAGTTGTATGGCCTACAATTATTTCTCTCGTGAGTTTGGGTGTAATTTGTGGTTGTCTGTGTGTGTGTCCATGGCGCCCGCGACACGGGGTTTCCCTAGTGCGGGGCTATGTTGAGTGTGTGCGTTATTTATTTATTTATTTATCTTAGGTTTTCGCGATTGTTGTTACACTTTAAATTTAAATCGCGTATATTTGTTTTTTCAAACGAACCGTTTCGGGCCCTTTACATGTTCCATGGTCACAGCTGACTGAGATATTAAAGTCATCAAAGTTATGTCTAATATAATGTAAATCATACCACCACTATATATGTAAGTATAACTTTGTAACTATAGTGAAAAATGCACTGCCGCGCTGCTTCACCTCCTTACACGCGTTCATACCTAAGCACGTGTACCGCGCCGACTTTTTAGATATAGTATTAGGCATTAGGAGTGGCACAGAAACTTGGAGGCCTATACCCAGCAGTGGGTGAAGTCAGGCTGTATATGATGATGATGATGAATAGGCATTTTGTAATTATATCAACAAACTTGATTCACGACTAAGGCCGGACTTTTTTTTGCAAATGTCCGACTTTTTGTCTGGACTGTTCAAATTTCGGAATGGTATCCCTAAACGAGTATGACACGAAGTGTACTGTAAGTATACTGTCAAAAATTGTCTAATGCTAATTATGATAGTGTTATGCAGAGGGTTAAGTGCGTATTAAGCTTGCCATTTGAGATTTAAATTGACATCTGTGTCGTTTACGATAACAACGGTCCATATTCCAATGATATGTAAGCCATATGGAGAGTCTGATTGTATTACATCGTTTATTTGCAGTATGGGATCATGTTGTTTGTTTTTCTTAAACAAAGCATATTGACGAACGAGTATCATTATTAATCAATTACGTGCTGGTGGCTGGTTTTCCGACAAGGAAAATTTTAAGTATCAAATTACTTCATATCACAATATTTTATGAATCACAGGACTTCATATCACAATAAGAAAATATAAATGAATAATAAAACAACTCTACCATTCAACTTCAAAAACTATTGAGTTACATAGCTTTAATTTTTCGTCTGCAACCTCAGCAAAAAGTGCAATTAAAATGCAGTTAAAAATGCAAAATGTCAAGAACATCACAGCTCATGACACAAAAGAACTTTGGACCCTGGAGTTGCTTGTCAAAATTTTCATCTGACTGTCGAGATGACTCAGACTGACCCTTTTGGCGCTACTCAACTTTATAAGGACGTCGAATAGTAATTATTTCGTCCCATTGATACTGGGTAAAGACCTCAATGCTATACTCCAGCGGCAGACAAGGACGAATATTAAAATTCAGCATGTATTGGTGGATCGTTCCTCTTGAACTATTTACAACGAGCTGCTGAAAGACAATTGTCAATTAATTTTCAATAACGACATCTACCGGCGTTAGTCTAAATTATTTATTTGATTATAGACGAGCAGCTTTCGCTGGTATGTCTACATCACACAGTTTTGAAATTTATATCATTGTTTTAGTTCACTTTTTAGCACTGATTCACTCTTTCGTAGCCAGTTGTCGAGCTTGTTTTTGGCGGCATTAACAGAGACAGCAGAAACAATATCTTCCGGTAGCATGTTCCAATTGTGCACCACTCTGTTGCTGAAAAAATTGTGTGCAGCACGAGTTTTGGAAGGTGCAGGTGGAACTAGTTTCAGATGGTGGCCACGTGACGGTTTAAAGTTTTTTTTTTAAAGATGTTTTGTATTGCTGGTAGGTTGTACTGACTCATCTGAATTTTATAAATCTCAATGAGGTCGTAATGAGGCGTAATACGTGTAGTCTCTCCTCATAGGATTTGAAGAGCCTGTGTGGCATTTTAGTTGCCTTCCTCTGAACGCAATTACTAATTAATTATTAAATAAATAATTAATATAAAAAATTAAATATTAAATAATTAATAATTATTAATTAATTTAAATATCTATGATGTTTGTACTGCTCTTTTGTAGAATGGCTTTTTTTAATACATCTTATCTTGTATCCTTTTGCATCACAGACTGTGGGGAGAGAACTTCTTTAACGCATCGACGAAAAAGTGGTCGAAGCAGAAGGACTCAGAAAACAAGCGTTCGTTCTGCATGTACGTGTTGGACCCTATCTACAAAGTTTTCGACGCAATCATGAACTTCAAGAAGGATGAGATAGAAAGCCTGCTCAAGAAGCTCAACATCACCATAAAGCACGAGGACTCTGACAAGGATGGCAAGGCCCTCCTCAAGGTAGACTCATTTTTTGTTTCATTCTATCAATGTCACATTATTACGATTTAAAATAATAATAGCAAAATATACTGTAACCACAAAAATAAATCAAAATAAAAAATATTCGATACATACGAGAAATTTTTCTACACATAGAATTCATTGTCCAATAAAAAGATTTCTGTCATTTTAAAACATTGCAATGCGTGTAACGATTTCTCACACGATTTCCCGAGAGATTCGAATGATCGAAAACTAGTTTATGCTTCCGTCGTCCTTTATGCGAACGTGCTGAATTTGCACCATAGTTCTTAATCTCGACAAATCCTTTTTTAAATACAGATGCATCTCAGTCCCAAGTGTTGCCAGTTACTTCCAAATAAGCATCTGGGTGTCAAAGTGGACTTACAGCATACATCTTTTTGGAATTGGTTGTTAGCTATCATAGCTTGTGACCCCATTAAAGGAAGATACAAATTCATTTACACTTGTGGAAAATTTTAAAACTGAGTACTCTTGAAAGTTGTTGACCATTGTCTGTATGTGCTGTACAGGTAGTGATGCGTTCGTGGTTGCCGGCTGGTGAGGCGCTGCTTCAGATGATTGCCATCCATCTGCCGTCACCTGTTGTCGCGCAGAA